CTTCTAGACTCAATTTGGTTGAAAGTGCCAAATTTCATCCTATTTGGGCAAATATTAGACGTTTGGTGCAAAATCAAAGGTAAATCGGACGAAGATATATATTGGAGCTATATCCAAATCTGAACCGATCTCGATAAAGTTTAGCAAATGTATTTCTGAGCTGTATTTGATATATTTCCCTGAATATCGTCATTACGGAGTGCATATTACGGCTGCGGAGGACAAAAATAACAAATCGGATTAACAATATATATGGGAGCTATAGCTATATCTGAACCGATTTCGATTCGATTTGGTTGTATTTGAAAAATTCCATACTATTCGGACTGATATTACACGTTTGGTGCACAATAAAAGGCAAATCGGACGAAGATATATATGGGAGCTATATCTAAATTTTGACCTATTATCTCCAATTTCAATAGGGTTCGTCATTGGGCCAAACAAATGATTTGTGCAAAATTTCATCTGGATATGGCAATAAATGCGAACTGTACTTTGTTTACAAAAATACATGGACAGACGGACGGACGGACGGACGGATCATCAAAAGGAACTATGGGTCTATCTCGTTTCCTTTTGTCTGTTACAATCAAATGCACAAAGACATAATACCCTGACCACCTTGTGGTGTAGGGTATAAGATGACGATAATTTCTTGAACTTTTACATTGCTCTATGTTCGCGATAGCCTTACGAATTCCTTTTGTGACCCCTTTTCGAGAGATAACACGACACGGAAACTTTTTTTGTAAAAGTGTAATGGTTTCGGTTCTTTGGTGGCACATTATACCGTGTTGTTAGAAGTAAACGTTGTTCAGATTAATACCGCCCAACACCGACCATGGAAATCATTAATCTTGGGTTGTCTTCAACACTTTGGACAACAGCATCAGTATTATCAGTTCCTTTTATTTCGGGATGTCCTTCTGTTTGTTTGTCTGTCCGCCACTCATTTGTAAACAAGCCACCTTTCGAACGAATTAAGATAGAAGGCAATAATTGTCATTTGGAAAAAATGAGCTACGTCGATCCACTTTTTCGTATAGCTCCCATATAGTGGTACCTCAAGATATTGGGTGTTTGAACAATTTAAGCCAAACGACAGCTCCCGATATTTTGTATTCTGATGATTTTATTGACATTTTCTAACAGAATTGTTTAAATTCGTTTCCTAGAGTTCCATTAGTTTGATTGGACACTTTCTAAAGGAATCGATTAAAATTTTGTTCATAAAGTTTTTAATGGGTGGCATAGGTCCACATAGCCAGATTTTATCAAAATCGTTCAGCATTCGGTATATAGAGTTTATAATGGTGGTTTGCCTCAAGCTCCATTTTTAATATCCCACATTAGCGGCATTTTTGCACAATTGTTAATATTTTTTTTTCAAATTGTTTTTTTTGGAATCTTTTACCTATGTAGTTGCTCGATTTGGCACTGCCCTCACATAACGCCATTGTCCACTTTATGGTATTTTGAAGACTTTTTTCGCAATCTCCAACCGATTTCACTGCCAAAATGAAACTAGCTCTAATATTAAATCCTGCTTTTTTATTTTTAGAAAAAAGTTCGGCTCACCTAAGCTTAAAGTCTGTTTCTGCTAATATATAAAGTGTGGTATTCGTCAGAGGATTTGGCAGCAAGTTTGAGACGGAACGTATACTCTAAGTCTTTGGAAGACAAAACAAGACCTTGGACATGACGATATGGGAAGTCTTCCACAAGGAGGAGAAGGAAGATGGGGAGTGCCATGCCTGTGATTGAAGTTGACGATCTCTCAATGGCCAGCCCGACAAAGATCACTGCTTTTTATGTCTTATACATATAATCAAATTCAAAATAAACAAGGTGGGAATCGGCCTAGACGAGGAAGTCAAAAGCGACAGCGAGGAGGAGAAAAAAGCACCACAAAACAGTGAGTGGAAAAAGGCATCAGCGTCTCTCAAGAATCCCGTCTACTGGAGAACAAATGATCGAGGCATCAACAGGTAAGATACACATTGGATCAATTCCTTGTACAAGAACGAGGCCTCTGGACTAAGCCACTACAGGGACTCGATCGAGAACTTGTATGTGTCACAAAAATTATATTTTCTCTTCTCACCAGAGTGATCAATATCGGACGCAGCAGCACCGATGCAGGGGAATGGCAACATATGCGTAGCGTTAGTTATCTACCGTTCGACTCTCCGTTACAACCACCTACGTCCAGCGGCCGGTGAGCACGGCAAAACAAAAAAATAACGAAGTACTTATTGCAAGCGATGTTAAATCACACCACATTGTGTGGGGTAGTACTAACACTAACAAAGTGGACCAAGCCCTACTAGATTATCTAAAAACTAAAGGTCTAATAATTCTTAAAATTGGAAATAAAACAACCTATGTAAATTAAATTAGAAACTCACAAACGGAATTCAGAATTGGAGTGTTTCGAATGAGCACTCCTTTTCAGATCATCGGTATATATGATTTGAACTAACACGTCCGCTACCGAACCCAATAAATTTATTGATCAAATCCAAGACTGACTGGATGAAGTTTGGGAGACTGGTAAAGGAAAGGCAAGAGCAAGGAAACATTGAATGGCTAAGTACATATGAAATAGGCAGGGATGACAAAAGGCTAACGGATACTTTAATAAAGTCATTCGGAGAATGCTGTCCCCTTCGAGAGAGGAAATCTGCTTACGAAAAATCGTGGATGACAGGGTAAATTCGTAACAAAGGAAGGCTTTACATAAGAGATCGCCGAAAAAAAAAAAAATAGCAGCATTTCTGCGAACAGGTTAATAGCTTAAATGATATATCAAAAATTAAAAAGTTTCTTTCTAAAACCTATACGCAAGCCGAGACAATGGTGGATGATATGGGTAGTAAGATGGAAACAATAGAAGATACCCTAGGGCTTTTGTTGAACACACACTTTCCGCCGTGCATCACAACGTACGAAGATATATCGGTAGATAGTGGAAGTGTGACTGATGAAGCACCAAAAATTGATTGAATCGATGGTAAAGGATGCCATCAAAAGTTTCAAGTCGTTTAAAGCAGCGGGAACACATATGGACTTCAATAAGCGAAGCACAGATACACTCATCCGAATTTAGACAATTTCCAAGACCGGGCGCTCAGGGACTAGATAAACCATATGCTAAGAAATTGATGGATAAGTTGGGGGCTATTGGGGGCTGAGGAACGCCACAGGAAGGACTTTTAGGAACTTTAACCAACAAAGAATTTGAACCAGTTTGCTATGCAGATGACGTTATAATACTTCTGCGGGGAAAGAAAAGAAGGCCCGGGTCGGCCAGACCAAGAGAACTTTATGTTAAGCCGCAAAAACTGAGATATGTCTTTTCACTAAAAAAACAAACCTGGGCCACTTCAAACCCGTATTCCTGAATAAGACAATCAATGGGGATAAGACAATCAATGGGACAATTCTAGATGGGAAACTTAATTGCAGAGACTAGATCCAAGAAAGAGCAAATAAAGGTCATAGATGCTGGGCAACGTGTAAATGCGTTAGAGGCTCATAATAGGGGTTCAATCCAAGAATGACACACAGACTATTCACAACCGTAGTTAGACCTGTTGTAACATACGCAACAGTAGTTTTGTGGACAGCTATAGATAAAACATGTATGCAATACGAGAATGTTACAGAAAGTTCTACGAATGTGCTGCTTATGTTTCTGCGGTACAATAAGCAACACTAACTAGGTCCCTAGAGACAAATTTATATATAGATATTTATAGATATTTAGATATGGTATGAAGCGGCCAGGGCGAGTGGACGGACGAGTAAAGACCAAAAAAAATTTACAGGTAACAATGGACGAATCAGTGGAAAACCTTGTATCGAACCGGACTCCTAAAGAAATTGTAGCTGCTTCCTGTGAAAAAATCGATTACGGGTATGATATGGCTTCCATATATTAGTTGAATCCGCTTGAGTATCCGTAATACACAATTAATGTAGGGAATCATTGAGTTGACCCGCCCCAACTTTGTCCTTTCCTTACTGATTTTATCATTAGTAATCTCAGCTTTTCAGCCGTTATATGAAATGCTGATAACATTGGAAAGTCCAAACTCAATAATTTCATTTATACTGTTTTGGAATATCATTAATATAAAGACCAGATACTAGTTTTTTTTTAGCATAGATTATTTAATCTGTATTTTTTGAAACAATTAAATCCCATTTCGGATTTCTTATGATCGTTGCCCCCGAAACTTAACAATAGTTCTCTAATGTTAGTTTCGACTCAGACATGAATTGAAATACAAAAAAATATATATTGCATATTTATTTTATAAGATATCTTTAATGTTAATGTTGATCAATGAAACATGAGTTCTTAAGTTTTAATCTATTTTGTCGTAATTTTTGCAGATACAGATTTCATAAAAAAATACTACTTTTGCCACCACCAATATGAATATACATTTGAAAAAATATCGGTTTATGAAAACAACAAAAAATAAAATAACATTTTATAATTATCTGAAATAATTGAAGCCTTTAAATTTAATTTTCATTTAATGTTGTTTGGTATATTTTAGGTTAGAAATAAAATATGGAATTTAAGTTTGGATGCATTAAATTTTCTTTCGATATTCAAATTCACAAGACAAAAAGCCATATTTTTATACTACAAAAACAAAAGTGTACTGTTTTTTTTTTTTTTTTTTTTTTTTTTTTTTTTGAAAACAACCCAATGCTAAAATAATAATGCTGATTAATCCTAAATTTGCAATAATAATCGAAATATATAATGAAAAAACTGCACTACAACTCATAACGTAACGCTTGTCAATTGTTTAATTCGAATTAATTAATAGATATTAAAACTTTGACTGATAAAACAAAATTATTATTGTTTCCAAAATTGAACAAATAACGCCTCTTTCGAAACATAAAGTAAAACTAAGAAACTGTCTTGTTATGCGGCTGGTTTGTACTCTACAATCGACAACGATATCACTCACCTCTCCAGCTATGTTGATCACAGGCGGTTGTTTGATTTTTTATTAGATAGGCATTCAAAGTGGTCAGTGAGGGACTCTTAAGCAAGGTGACCTCACCGTTCCTCCACACATACCTTATTTGGGGTTCTTCGTACGATACTGAAAGTATTTTTTTGTAGAAGAATATTAATATTAATTGAATTTTAGAAGCGTAGAAGATGCAATTAAATCGGAAGAAAACTTACTACTTTCCATAGAGAACGTACACTTGGGATCATCGAATGGAAATATGTGCAGACTTCCTTGGCAGGATAATATCAAGTGTCGTCTGAAAAAATTGAGAAAATTTCCAAAAATCAACATTGTTTTTCAATACGAATTGAAGCATATCATTTCACTTATTAAATTTGCTTCACATCGTCACATACATACATACATGCATACATGTACATAAATTCTTTCACAAATACTTACCTATTCCATTAAAATCAAATTATGCTACATAAATTCCTTTTACATTTCGCATAAATCTATGAAATTTGTTTCCCCAACTTTCTATGGCCTACCAAATATTTGAACCTTTTTTAAATGACATTTTTATGGTATGATAGAGGAATTTGCTTGTGGCAAAAAGGATTTCGTCGAGATTTAACGATGATATTTCTTAACACACAATTCTCAATGATTTAGGCTCATGACTCCAAACATGCCAAACACATATAAATGATACTTATTTACGTAAGAATGTAAATTGTTCTCTTGGAATTTCCAACCAAGGTCAAATTACAAACAAATGGGTTGGAGTTCGTGAACGAGGAAACATAAAACGGTGAGTCGAAAGTATGAATTTAGTTGGCCTTTAATTCCCTCAATAATCTGAGCACCTCAGACGGGGTTTTAGTCTAAACTACTCTTGGTGCGTAGGCGAGATATAAACAGAGATTATGGAAATACGAATTAAAAGTTATTCTAAAATACTTAATTCAGTATTTTATGCCATTCAAAATACCAATATAAGTTCGATAGATCTAAAAAGTTTGTAAAAAGTAGTCCTTGACCAACGATGTTTTACAGAGATTTCTCTATCTCCAGCTACCTATGTGTGTCCGTCTTTTATTATGGTAATGGTCACAATATTAGCCTTTCGTTTGAGAAGTTCACATTCAGGGTGAGATGAAAAAACTGCAACCAATTTCAGACTGCTGTCATTTCTAAGCCACTCGTCCGATAGCTGATAAAATTATTACATGAGCTCATTATATTGTTTAGGAGCGTACAAAAGCATTTTTGAAAGAGTTTTCGAAAAAAAAGTAATTCGTGATGGAATTCAAGCGTGATAGTGTGATTTCTTTATATTTGGCTGGAAAACCACAAGTGGCTATCGTTAGAGCACTCCAGCATTTAAATGGGAATAAATCAAGCCCGGCGTCAAGGAAGTGGGCTGAAGAAAACAGCAACATCGCAGAAATGGTTCAAAAAGTAAAGAAGCGACTTGATCGAAACCCGCGTCGCAGTGAGCTAAACATATCACAATACTTTATTCGGCAAATATTGAAAATGAGCTCGGGGTAAAGCCATTGAAATTCCAAAAAGTGCAAGAACTTACACCGCAACGGAAAGAAAATATACTCAAAAGGGCTAAAGAGTTGCTACGCTTGGCCGAAAGTGATGAACTGCCGAATTTGGCTTTCTCCGATGAGAAAACATTCGTTGTCCAGCAGTTTGCTAACAAACGAAATGATCGTGTTTACATGCCAAAGAGGTCAGCAGAAAATGTGCACCTTCGATTGGCCACCTGAACTCAAGCGCCGGCCATGGTGATGGTGTGGGACGCCATAACAGGCGATGGTCGCGAGTTAAAGCCTTGGGCACGCAAACATTTGGGCCGCAGACGTTGGACATTCCAACAGGACTCAGCACCATCGCACTCAGCACGCGCCACCCAAGAATGGTTTCAAAATGTGGTTCCTCGCTCCATTTCGCTTCAGCAGTAGCCACCCAAGAATGGTTGCAAAATGAGGTTCCTCGTTTCATTTTCAGCGCACAGTGGCCACCAAAATCTCGAGATACCAATCCGTTGGACTATTGTGTCTCGATTATTTTGGAAAGCAAGGTTGGCACAAAAAATACCAAAGTGTCGATCACCTCAAACAAGCGCTTCGCCGGGAATGGACCAATACATGATACAGTAAGGAGGTAGAACAGCTTCGTAAACTACAGAAATACAGCGTTGAGGTTATGTCCGGTTATGTCCGGTTCCTGTCAGACTCGTTCAAAATTGTATGCAAAAAGTGGTTTTTAATTTTTTTTTATATTTTTCTAGATTTTTAAAATGACCTAAATAGCGCGAAAAATGAATGAAGTGCCAGGATTTTCTCGCAATAATATGATCTAAACTATTCAAGCTTTCAATTTCATGGCTAAACCGATTAATAGTTTTAATGAGCGAGATCCAATGTACGTGTCTTCCAATCATTGGGTTTGAAAACATTTTTTTTAATTTTTCAAAACAATAAATACATACAAAAATTGGCAGATGTCGGGTACACTTAGAAAAAAATTGTAGTCAGCCCTCACCTGCTGAGACTAGAGACTTTACCTTTTTATTGTACCATGGGCCAATATACCGCAGAGCAACATTCGGGCAGCGTGAGTTCAACGGTCAATGAAGGTCATAATTCGTGCCAAAGTTTACCAATTCGAACAAATGTAAACTTATTCTAAAATTTGATGTTATTTCCGCCATTTTTTGCTTTTATTCCATAAGGTTTAAAAAAATGTAAAAATTATGTCGTTTAACTTTGTTGGAGTTTTTTATCTCACCCTGTACAGGTCACATCTAAAGACCGGCCAGAGCTTAATTTTACGTGAGGTTAGACTAAACATAAGTCTACCATTTTGATAAGATTTAACGGGTGAAACGCACCATAATTTTATGCGAAAATGTTTAAAATTTTCATTCAACCGTGAATATTTTTAATACTGAAAGAATAGGATTCCTATAAGAACGACAGAGGAGTAAACATAAGACAATTGCCATGGAATTTGACATTATGACTAGGGTAATGTTCAAACGGAGTAATGTCATAATGACAGCAATGACTTTAAAACAGGAATTTATTACATTATTTATAACTCCTTAAGCCCAATTATGTATCTTAATATATTGAGGAATTCGTTCATTCCATTCTAAGAATTTGAGATCTATAGCAATTATAGTACAAATTAAATTATAGTATTGTAGGGCATTCCATGGTCGGCTCAGCCCGACTGTAGCCTTAGCTTACTTGTTTAATATTTCTCTTAAAATGTCAAGTTGTATAGAATTTTAGTTGTAAACTCATTCTTTTTCATAGCTAAGGATTAGAGGTTAGAGAAACGAAAAAATCGACATTTTTGCCCATTTGCCCATTTCTTTTTCATAAGTAAACACTCGTGTGGACTATAAAGAAGTTGCCTTACAGATCCTCACAAATTTTGCTTTAAATATTTTAATTTTTACTGAATAGAATCCCCACAAAGACCTGGTTGCGGGAACACATATATTTCCAAAGAATTTTATTTAATTTGTATGTTGTAGTGTGGGTATCTTAGAAAAGGTCCTACCCGACTACAGCCCTTCGAACATGTTTTCTTTTCAAAATATCTAGTTTTTAACTTGACGATGGGCCGTTTTAGAAACTATTCCAATATATAATCGATTCCATTTTATATAAAATCGGCCATTGATCTCCAAAATATATTGTATCCTTCTTCAATTATCGTACAATAACTTAGTTTTATTGGCTGTAAATTCTATCATTTACTTTCAATTTTACATACGAACATACATATGGACAACGATCCACATGTGAATAAGAAATAAAATTGTCAATGCTAAATAATGGCTAACAGCTGTGGAGCTTTCTGTGCTTTGCCACATGGCCCCTTACTCAGGCTTTATTCGTTTAAGTTAAGTGGCTTGTTTGTCAAAGTTAGTCATACAATGTTTTCTGGCATAGACACATCCGTACAGACCCTAGCACACACGCTGACATTCACATTGGCAACAACAATTTTTATTGGACAACAAAGTTAGGCAAACTTGTTATTACACAAAGTAAAATATTTGTTGACTTTTTGACTGTTGCTTTGAAAATGTAATGAGTTAAAACCATTCAGCAGAGAAAGAACATTGTTAATTTGTTTTGTCAAAAATTAAATTTTGGAAAAATTTTATTAAAACCTTTGTTTTTTTACTTCAGCACTAAACCGATTTTATTAAGTACTAGCTGGCCCGGTCCGCGTTGCCGGCCCTTACTTTTAGTCTTTAATGCATATTTTTTAAGCATTATAGAATTATGAAAGCGGCAAAATTTTTATTATAAGTAAAATAACTCCATAGTAATTTCTAAATAGAAATAAACATTCATGGGAAAAATTATAATAGATAATAATCTACCGTCGGTTTTAGATATTTTGAATAGCCTGATCTTATTTTTCAGCCTAAGGCTATAATTGAGTGTTAAAAACCTGTATGATATAGAACTTCTATAATAGCCCCATGTGAAAACTCAGCTAAATTTTTGGTATTTAATTTCCAATGTTAAGAATACCGTGCTGCGTGGTATTTAGTTTTGTCCACCTCATAATTGAGGGCGGAATGATTTCAAAATACATCCATTACCGTGAAATATTAATTAATTTATTTTTGTCATATAAATTGTGAGTTGGAGAACCCATAAAGTCCATATTTTTCATCATAGTATAATTCAATAACGAACAAAAAAATTAATATTCGTGATTTTTTCATGTTTCTGCCACAATTTGATATTTCGGAGTTTATGGCATGTAGATGTTAATCCCACATCTACGTTCCCAACCAATATTCTCTTGGGAGTTTCAAATTCAATAGTATATCAAATTTTCTTTTCTGACCAAACATTGGTTAGGAAAGCGGATTTGTGGGTACACTAATGTGAGAACTATACTCGAATAAATGCCTATGTGGACAATTATCTGAGGGACGATTCTCTACCCCAGAGTTGCCTAAATACAATTTTTTAGCCAAATCAATTGATGAATGTGGTCAAGACCAAGATGGACTCTACTCCGAAAATTGAAAATATTATGAGAAGAGGTTTTTTACACCCTTAGAAACAAAGATGCCAAATAAAGGCCTAAAGATGAAAAAAATGTCGAAGACCCCGAACATGGCTTAAATTATATGATGGTTATACCAAAACATGATCATATTTTGCGAGGATGGTTTCTTATCAAATTAAAATGAGTGTGAGAAAAATGTGGTTAAAATGTAAACAATACTTGAAATAGGGTTGTACCCTTATC